TTATAGCTTATTTACGGGTACACCTATATATATACATATATATATATATATATGTATATATATATATATATATATAGCTTATAGCTTATTTACGGGTACACTTATATGTACATATATTCATATATATATATAAAATACTTAGTTGTTTGCGGCATTCATTTTTCGGGTGTCTGTACACCGTAGCGATTTGATAGGAAGTGGCTGAGGATGTTAGTGCGAATATAATCGGTGAAAGTTTAATGCAGAGAAGCATCAGAAGATAAGCAATATATAACTCCTTCCATCTATTGAGGGCGTAAACAGAGACACAAGTTCTTCAACTGCTGCTGCTGCTGCTGCCCTTTGTGCTGCTGCTGCTGCTGCAGCAGCTGCTACAGCAGCAGCAGCAGAAAGAGCAGCAGCAACAGCAGCAGCGTCTCAGGTCCGCACGTACAAGAGACTATCAATGCTGCAGCAAATGCTTCGCACACTTCCGCTGCTGCTGTTGCTGCTGGCATGGCGCTGCAGGTGCCTGCAGCAGCAGCAGCAGCAGCAGTAGCAGCAGCTTCTGCAGCAGCATTTTCAGTTGTGCATTAACAGCGTAAGGTTATACGCTCTCTGCCTTAAGGGCTTTAAAGCCCCTTCCACCTTCCGCTGTTTCGGGGTGTATGGACAGCTGCTGCTGCTGCAGCAGCTCTGCTGCAGCAGCTGCTGCTGCTGCCGCCACTTAGATGCTTGCTGCTGCAGCAGCAGTAGCAGCAGCAGCTGCTGCTGCTGCTGCGGTGCCGAAGAGCACTCGCCCTTTACAGCAAACACGATGCGTTGCTTATCTTACTGCTGCTGCTGCTGCTGCTGCTGTTTCGGCAGACAGCAGCAACAGCAGCAGCAGCTGTTGTTGCTACTGCAGCAAAGCTGCGAGCAGCAACAAAAACACGTCAGCTGCTGCAGCAGCCGCTCTTCTTGCTGGGGCGCGACTGCATGCTGCGGGTGTTATCCTCATCAACCTGCGTATACACCCCAAGCCTCCTCAAACCCTAAACCCTAAACCCTAATGCACAGCTATACCACGGGCCCACAACCGCCTGAACACCCCGACGGATCTGCGCTTCACCACTCAACAGGCAGGCAGGAATTAGGGTTTAAAAGAATGAGCTTAGGGTTTAGGGTTTAGGGTTTAGGGTTTACTTGAATCTTCTGGCCTCTGCCTGGTTGTGTTACAGCTCCCTGGGGATTATCCTCCATTTGTTTTTTCTGTCTTAGCAGATATATTTCTGTTCACCAGCCACAAACCCTAAACCCTAAACCCTAAACCCTAAAACCCTAAACCCTCGTCGAAACCCCCGCCCTAAACCCTATCTACGCAATACCTCCATCATCAACAACTAAAACCCCAAACCCGCAAACCCACCACCCATAAACCCTAAACCCTCAGTCAGCACTGCACCCTTAGGTCGTAAACCCCAGCGCCCAAACCCTAAACCCTAAACCCTAAACCTTGCACACCCCCACCCCAAAGCCCTTCTTAACCCTAAACCCTCACAGCACCCAGCCCAAAACCCAAAACCCTAAACCCTAAACCCTGAACTGGTCCGCGATCCCAAACCCTAAGCCCTAAACCCTAAACCTGCACACGCGCCTCAAACCCTAACCCGTAAACCCTAAACCCTAAACCCTAAAAGCATCGTACCTGCTAATATCTGATGGAATGCCTGTTCTACATTCGTAGCATCAAGAGCACTGGTTTCAATGAAGGCTAAGTTCTCTCTATTAGCAAATCGTGTCGCCTCTTCAGGAGATACTGCTCTTAAATGTCTTAAGTCGCTCTTATTTCCAACCAATAATATTACAATGTTAGGGTCCGCATGGTCCCGAAGCTCCTTCAGCCAACGCTCCACCTATCATATATACACAAACCCTAAACCCTAAACCCTAAACCCTGAACCGTAAACCGTAAACCCTGAACCGTAAACCGTAAACCCTGAACCCTAAGCCCTACACCCTAGACCGTAAACCGTAAACCCTGAACCCTAAACCCTAAGCCGTAGTCCCCAAGCCGTAAACCCTAAACCCTAAACCCTAAAGCCTAAACCCTTGGGGACAATATCGCTTGTCCGTAATACCCATAGGAAACGGGAACTTCATGCAACCGATATTTAAACCCACGAGAAAAAGGCAGCTCGAAACCCTAAACCCTAAACCCTACACCCTTAATTCACGGAAAGGCGGTTGGGCGCAACGCACAATCCCCCACAAAACCCTAAACCCTAAACCCTAAACCCTAAACCCTAAACCCTAAACCCTTACGTTCTCGAAGGACTGGCGCTTGGAGATGTCGTACACCAACAAGGCACCAACAGCCCCCCGGTAATATGCAGATGTTATCGCCCTGTATCTCTCCTGGCCAGCTGCACGTAAACCCTAAACCCTAAACCCTAAACCCTAAATCCTATACCCTAAACCCTATACCCTAAATACCTGCAGGCATCTCGAGTTGCTGCACTTGCTTCAAAGAGAATCGATGCATGAGCCGTCATCCGGCCTAGAAACCGCAAACCCTAAACCCTAAACCCTAAACCCTAAACCCTAAACCCTTAACCCTAAACCCTAAACCCTAAACCCTACCTGTGTCCCAGATCTGCGCCTTAATGACTTTCCCTTCATCCAGATAGACGCTCTTTGTTGCAAACTCCACCCCTATTGTTGATTTGCTTTCGAGATTAAACTCATCGCGAGTGAACCTGCGCATGCATAACCCTAAACCCTAAACCCTAAACCCTAAACCCTATACCCTCAATCTGGATACAGAGGCTTTACAAGAAGACTGCTAAACCCTAGGGCCGGTGCAGCAGAAGAAAACCCCAAATGAACTCGGCGCATTAAACCCCAAACCCTATAACAACACTAAACCCTAAACCCTAAACCCTAAATCCTAAATCCTATAACAGCATCAAACCCTAAACCCTTAGCCCTAAACCCTCGAGCAGCACCTGGAAAGCATATTAGACTTCCCTACGCCGCTGTCCCCAATGAGAACAACTGCAAAAACAAACCCCAAACCCGTATCATATCATATATATATACGCAATCTGTATATATATATATATATACATATATATATCTTTATATATATATATATCTTTATATATATATACATATATATACATATATATAAAGATATCTGCCTGAATAGATATGCAGAAATTGAGATAGAGAAATAGATATGTCCACATATTTATATGCATCCATGGATACGTATGCATGCACGTATATACATATGTATATATGACAATATATAAACATAAACATATATACATATATATATATATGTAGATATATACATATACATGTAAATGCATATATATATATATATATATATTGTACCTACGCATACATATGCATATTCTTATATATATATATATATA